TTCTCTGGTAGCAAGGTTTGAACCTGATACCTTCAGGATCAGAGCACAAACCTGTTTTACTTGAGCTAAAGAGCAAATCTGCTGCTGCACGTAGCTCTAGCTTGCTCTTTTCCTGCTAGTGGACCAGATGCTCGCAGAGGAAGGCAAGATCCATTTTGCAAGTGCATTACTCAGTGATAAGAAAGCTCTTTGCCCCAAGGTGCTACTCCTCACATGCCTGGCCTCTGGAAACACAAGCTTCAGTGGTTAATATTAGCTTTGCCTGGGTGGCTTTAAACATGTTTACTGTTATATTTACTTAAAATACACTTGAACGGTGATTCAGAAAAGTGTGTTACTACAGCTGGCAAGTAAATTCAAGACTTGCCCATATTTCACAGGTAGTGGCTGTAGGCATCCCGTATCAGTGAATGGGTGTGTCATCAATTTTCCCCTTAGTCAAACTATCCTATCAAGGGATAACTTTTTCCAAGAAAAATACTCCAAAAGCAATTTCTCCCTATAAAGGTGATCTTTCCACATCAACATTCCTGCAATGAAAAAAACCTCTATTGCACAAAAATTCACCTCTTTTTCTGCCTACAGCAAGAACACTTCTGCACTTGTGGGTTTAACATTTTAATAGTATTTGTGAAGTGCCAGGAGGGTGTTCAGCGCTGTACAAGATGTACTGCCTGCATCATGAAGTTTAAAAAGAACAGTTCACACAAAGGGCAAAACACTAAATGTGCTCTGAATTACTGCAGCATTAAAGCACAGAAGGACAGCTGACAAAGTGTGCTAGGCAACAGAAATTATCATAAAGTCTCTTCTGGTTTTGCATTTTTCCCCAGCTGTCCTTTTTCTTCCTCTCACTTCAGCTTTCATATCCTGCACTAGGAAACCACTAGAGCACTTTGCTAGGGTGAATCAGTGCATAAGGAAGGTTTTGAGGAGGGTACACAGGCTGTGCCGAGATCAACAGGGACTGCTGTGCACGCAATCCTATAGTGACTTTCTGGGTAAAAACGGCAACACCTCTGCACATCATCCATTGCATCCTGTACTTACTTTACAGGGCAGTGGAACTTTTTACAAATGGAAACATTGAGGCAAAAAAACCAACTTATGTTATTTAAAGAAAGTCGCAACACGGTAGTGCTGGAGCTAGAAATCAAACCCAGGGGTTTGCTCCTGGATGTGCTCTGATCCTGGTGTAAATTCCCTCCCATACCCATGCACCGTGCTTTAAAGTCAGCAAGCATCACAAGCCACAGGCTCCAGTCACACTCCACCAGCTCTGCACATTCATTTCAGAATGATCATTTTGTTTTTAAATCTCTCTGTGGAGTCAAGCTCCCATCCCCTGTTTGGCATGACCTCCCAGGACCGGCTGGCAGCCTCTGTCTGCAGTCAGACCTGGCACTGTGCACCCACGAGGAGCGGGACCTGGTTCAGGCGAACATTGGGAGTGAGTCAGTAAGACAATTCAGTCCAAACTGAGTGACAACTTGACTCTGCAGGCAAGCGCACAGCACACTTCATGCTGGCAAGAGCTGTGCAGGGCATGACGCATTGCCTGGTACCCAGGGATGCTGGCAGGCTGGAGCCAAGCTGCCCACAGCAAGGACCATGGGCTTCGTACCCCTGGGAGCATCCCTGGGCAGGGGCAGTCAGGGGAGAGCTCGCTCCACCACAGGAGCTCACAGTGGGCCCTGGAGAGCAGATTTGGCACCGTTTCCCAAAGACCCTGGAGCCAGTCGCTCTCCAACAAGCAGCTCCACTCCCATGGGCAGAGGGACCAGGTGACATGGGGTGGCTTGCTGTGCCCAGCACAGCGGTCCTGTGGGAGTCTGGCAGCGTGGGCTTTCCTCCATCGTCAGCCAAGTACTTGGCACTTCAGTAGGACTTGTCCACAAAACTCTCAGCTATATCCTAGAGCGCTCGCTGCACCTCCAGGGCAGAGAAGTGATGTTTCCATTCATTTAAGGCACATCACTGCAGTGGTAAATGTTGTCCCTATACCACAGGCATTTCCACTCTCTACGGCTTATGCCTGTGTACTAGTCACACTCACAGCATCACTGCCCAACAGCTGAGGACTGGCAGGGAAGAGAGCTATCAGATGGAGAGAACTATGGGGGAGGATTTTAGATAGGCACAACAAAAGGATGCTGCATCTTGCTCAATCTCAGGGCCCACAGCCAAGAGATCAGTTCTATTCCTGGCACCGCCACGGGCCAAACTGCAGGCAAAGCTCACCCTCGCATATCCACTGATGCATCGATACCAAAACCTTCCTCATCCAAATACCTTATTTTTCTGACATACTTAGCTGCGGGATTACTAGCCAGCAGCAGCAGCCTGCAATGCTCCTTTGTTGGGTGTACAGTAATGTATGGCATACTGGAGAAACGCTGCAGCTCTATTTTTCTTATTGACTTTAAGTAGGAGAATCAGCTATTACATAACACAGGAGCATCTACTTTATACACAGTAGCACTTTCCACATTCAGTCCAAAATGGTTTGAAAAAAAAATAATGACTGCATAAAACCATACTGACATACTTACATAAACTACTCAGTAATATTTTTATATTCACAGGTTTTTTCCACTGTCAGATGCAGTTCAAGAAGGCTAGTGATACCTGGCTAATTTCTTTGCAACTCCACAGCATCCCCGGAAGATACTGCTCTCCATCAATACATGAAACATCAGAAAAACCCAAACTACCTCTCAGAGTCTAATGGCAAGCAGAGCTGTGCAGAAGCAGCCCTGGCTCCAGCTTTGGCAGCATTAGAGTGCTTTTGTCTGCCTGCTCACAAACGATGCGAACTTCATCAAGACACTTGACAAGCCAAGCTGATTCAGCCATTAGCTAATAGATTTATCCAGGAGGTTACAAACTGACAGAGAAGTTGTTGACTTCACATCATGATGACAAATAGGGCCAATTTTACTCCAGCAAACTTTGCATCCAGGTTGCCGAGGTTGTGCTGTCCAGCACAAGCACACTTCAGCAGGACCCAGAACTCGTGCTGCATGGCTCCTCTGACTTTCCTGTTGGTACCGGTATGGCACCTTGTCTCACTGCTCATGTTCACACAACCTCACTTTTTATTTGTATATCTTTATGAGGAAGGACTTGCTGGATCTGAACATAGGACTCCAGGTAGCTGATAGCAAATTTGCTTAACATCAGTCTTCCGTGTAAAACAGACAAAGCAGAAATGCAGATAATTAGATAAACATCCAGACACTAATGGGACAGGTATCGTACCACTGTAACTGTTGCATTAGTTAACACAATGCAAACAGTTTTATTTCCTTTGCTGGAGCAGTTTTACATCCAGGCATTTGAGAAATATTAGTACCCGTTGGGCCCAAATGGTGTACTCAGTGCTGTCTAGACATAAAAATGGGCCCAGTCGTGCAGAGCAGAGACAATGGTAATGGCTGTTAATGCACTCAGTGCAGTCAGCCAGCCCAGCGTGACTTGCCCAGGGCACTGGGGTAGAGGCTGACACTTAAACCAGAGATCAGAGCAGACAAACACTTGAGATGTTAAAGGCATATGATGGTGTGATCACGACCTGAAAAATGAGATCCTGAACAGACTGCAGAAACAAATGCAAATCTGTCATATCAGGGCAGATGGAACAAAAGCAGTAACCTGTACTGCACAGTGTCAGGAAAATGTTAATTTTGGTACCAAGGTAAGAAATTACAAAGCAATGCAGTAAGTTGTTTGCAATAAAGAAAACAGCTGCACTGGATGCAATGCATAAGGACAGTACCAGCAGTGGTAAGAGACCTTCAGAACAAGCAGGTCTAAAGCAAAGTCATTTTAAGATGACAATGAAGTTACAAGCAGAGTGGCATGTGAAAGGAAGGTGTTAGGCTGGACATACTGGAAAACAGTGGTGGAAACACCACTGCAAGCAAACATATGGCAGAAGCTCAGCAAAACTGGAGAGCTGCCAGTGTGCCCTGGGTGCCAGTCGCATCCTGGTGCAAGATGGTGGCAGAGAGGGGCAGGAAAAACTGAAGCAAGATGACCCAGAAAGCCTTGGACAGGGATTGACAGGCTACTGTGCTGCACCCGGGCTCTGCACAGCTGCCCTCAGAAGAGGAGAAGAAAAGCTTCTGAAAACTTATGCAGTGAAATCAGGCTGGCTGGTAGATCATTATCTTAAAAGAAGCACTCTACACAAATGTTCTAATACACCAACAACTTACAGCATGTTATCAATAATGCTAAAAAGCATGGAATTTTTATTTTAGCTCCTCAGCATGAGAGCCTGCAAAGTAAGCTCCCCCTGCCAATGTCTTCTGAAGTTATAGCAGAAGACAGCCTCTCTGGAACAAGAAGCTGTGAGCGGAAGTGTACAGAAAGTTAACCACTTTGCAATAAAGAAATGCCCCTTTGCTCTTACAGCAGTATGCTGGCTCTTGATTCATCTCTGACATGCCAATGTGTCTCCCTAGGTCTCTCTATGAGCTGATGAGGAACAGCTTCAGGCAGTTCTTAGGGAAAGTAAAACAAATACATGAAAGTACATTAAGATCCCTTACTACTGAAGAAAAATCCATCCAAGACCCTTCTTTTCTCAAACTGGGATAAGAGCAATCAGTTCCTGTCATCTCAGTTCCTTAAATAGGCTTTTTACTGCTTTTTGTTTTATACAGGACAGGAGTCTGGTTTTAAAAAAATAAGAAACTTTCACAGAACCTTTATCTCATTAACCACCTCCTTACCCGTGTGTAACACCACGTCTGTCCCCTCTGTGCAGATATTCCCATTTTGCATCAACAAGTGAGGCAGTACTTGCACCCAAAACTTCACAGTGGAACGTGTAAAGGAAAATAACCACACAGTGATGTGTGCCGAGAAAAATGCCCCCGAATCTGACACAGGGCTTGCGAACATTTCCCTCCCCTTGCGAGAGTCCTCCTGCCTTCCTCTGGCTGTTGGCAATCACAAGCACTACTCAAGCAGACAGGACCAGAGTACTGTACCTGGCTCGGAGATAATCAGGCTCTGGTCGGAAGGCAGCAGGAGGAATTCCCTGCAAGTGTCCAGGTCCAAGCTAGGCAGACTTTTCTTCTGGCACAGCTCGGTGACAATGCGGACTGCCTTCTGACAACGGCCGTCATCCTTGGTACCACTCATCTCCCACACTGCATCCTCCGCTATCCCCCTCTGCTGTCTAAGAAAGTCAAACTAGGAAAAGAGGGTTTGTTTATTTTTAATCACACAAACAGATTCACACCAGTTCCATCCTCTGGCATGGCAGCGCCCTAAGGGACACCCTGTGCCAGGCAATGCTCCAGATCTACAAACCCTCCTCAGCATTCAGACCAGGGAGTCTCCAGTCAGGCTCCCAAAACCACAGCTTGCTGCAGTCCTGCCAGTGCTCCTGATGCCTTATTGCCTCTGAGCTCAGATCTCTGTTTACTGCCAAGGCGTGTTCCAGACAAAGAACCTCCTACCAAATTCAATTTCATGCCCTCCATAGGACGTTGTTAAAGCTGCAGCCCAGATAATTCTTTTTAACCCTTTCATTGCTGCCCCTTATCCATTGTCCAGGTGCAGAGTTTCGAATCCCAGCCCCAGAGCAATTTTGGAAAAAAAGTGAATGCTGAAATCTTCTGGCTGAGGGCGGCACATCATCAGACAAGAGAAACAAGAGTGCTCCCATGAACACTGCACAAACTACTTACAACTGCCAAAGGCAACATAAGAAAAGCAGCAGGTTTTATCGATTTGTTTGTACTGGTCCTAACACAACAGACTGCAGATAGCAATAGAGATTGAGAATGCTATTCTACTTCATAATTAGATTCTTTGGGGTTTTTTTATTTTCTGCAGTATTTTTTTATTCCTATTGTAATCTAACGGACAGGTCATGCCATGTAACAAAGCTACACTTTTGAACAGAGAATAGTTTTGACAGGAATGGGAAAAGAAGCAATTGTATAACAGGCAATTAAAATTATGTACAGCAGAATGATTTCTTGCAGCTTCTGGAGCAGGGAAGCTAGTACAAATATAATGAGCATACTGGAGAGGCAGGGCTAAAGCTCTGGGTCCCTCAGCCCCATGTCGCAACAGAGTATGTTTAGCTCCATGCCACTGTGTCTATTTTGCCTGTTGTTAATTACTTGCTGAAGCACTTTGAGCTGTCACACCACATGAGTCCCAGGAGTTACAGGAGCACCCACTGCAGCACTAGGCTCCCCTGGAGCACAGGTCCTCTAACAACCCTCCAGCCCAGCCACGCAGGCTCCTGCAAGGCTGCAAACCCCCCAGAAGCTCTGTGTCTCAGTCTGCAGGCTGGGATCTACCCCAGGTGCCTCTAGTGCTGCCTCCTCCCGCCTGGTCCCTGCCCACTTCTGCTGCCCTGGACCAGCCTGGGGATGACAGAGGCTGGGCATCAGGGAGCTGGCATCGCCCCAGCACTGCCCCACACCTCCCCACAGGTCAGCACAAGCAAGGTGCCCTTCCACCTCACTGCAGCTCTGCGGGGGGCTGCCAGCCCCCACTCAGCAGGCAGCCCTGAGCTCCCACTCCCTGGCTGGCTGGATAAAACGTACTGTAAATTCTCCAACTGTTGGGTTAGTGACTCACTGCCAGCACAAAGGGCCTGTGTAGCAGCTGAGGTGCATGTGCCAGCCACACGGTTAAAGGCATTGCTCCAACATCCCTGTGCAGCTGCAGACGGGACCCTTTTGGTCACACCAGTCCTTCCTGCCTCCCTGCCCAGACCAGTGTGTTTTGGACACCTTACCCTTGCTAGCTGAGCACAGGCTTCTGCCACTGTGCTTTATCCAGCATAGAAACCTCTCTCTGGCAAGAGCAACTTACCTACTAAGCACTTCTCCCTCCAAAAACTTCTGTTGCCATGACAACACGAGTGAAATCTTTCCTTAACACAGCAATATCCTACAATTGGTCACAAAGAGGCACTTTTAATTAGACACTACCACCTCCCGGTCAGTGCTGTATAACCTTCTGCTGCAAACAGTTTGAGGCATATCTGCAGATTAGGAAGTATTCCTGAAAATGTTTACCACATGCAAGCAAACACCAACATCACCAGCTGCTTGCTGGCAGCACTACGGCTTGCAGAGGTCTATGTTTACTGAGTAGAGATTCCGGACTTTGCAAGGCTGGAAGCTAAACCAGTCATTCGCCAGGAGCTCAAGCTCGGGTATAGTTTGCATTACATTTATATGATAAACTCACTAAAACCACCCACCTATTTATCTTTTTAAGAAACTTGAAACTCAAGTTATGCTCCAAACCTGTCTTTAGAACCAATCATTCCTGTCACCGACACCCCCAGCCTTTGTCTTTCCTTATTCATTGCACAGTATTTTTCCTTAGGCTGTACAGCCCTTACAGAAGGGCCTTTCCCTCCCTGATTTGGGTTCATACAACATCTACCAGGGGCTAGGCCCTACCCTGCTACGGCCTCTTACATGTATTGAAGTATGAAGGACTTCATGACGGTTTTGCTTTAACAGTTCAGCCCAGGATGTTTTCCAAAGCTGAACATCTGGTTTACTTCTGCCTCCTGCTCCAGAGGAGAAACTTGCATATGTACACTCATGTATGTGAAGAAACCTAGTGCCACTGCAGAAGGTCCTGCAGAATATTTTTTCCACCTGTGATTGGGAAGATGTAAGAGGAATGTGACACGCATTGAGCTGAGTCCACCCTGCAGATGCAGTCACGATGCAGCACAGGGATTTGCCTGAGAGCAGGTTGCAAGAGCCCATGCAAAGAAAGCCATAGCTGGGGCTCTGAGACCTCCATGGGGAGGCTGGAAAGATCAGAGATGATGTTTACTCTGCACCTGTGACAAAGCCTAACTTGTTTACTGTAATGAGCATGTTGCTCACTTGGGCAGATTAATGACACATCAATCAGCACACAAAGAAAAAAACGATAAGACACTACATAGGTTAAGATACAATCACCTTGTGCTGGTGCTGCTTCTTCCCTGTTAAAGTCCTCCTCAGGGTGACTGGATCCCAAACATCTGATCTGTCTCCATTAGTAGTCTGCTGCCCACTGCTTGAAAGCACCACTTATGGCAGCAGTTCCAGAACCAGATTAGCATATGCAAAAGTGATTAAAGACAAATTAGCAAAACAACCCCCAGCCTTTCAGGACAAAATTACCCTCCTCTAGGAAAATTCAGGTATGCGCAGTGTCCAGGAGGCCACTGTAGGGCAGAAAACAAACATGGGCCTTTGGTTTCTCAGGGCTGGGGAAGACTGTTCTGCAAGGCAGGATGTAAGTCATGCTAAATTTTAGAGCACTGCAAATCCAGCCTTATAGCTTCTGTAGCCGCATGAAACACCACATATCCTGGAAGCCATCTATACCTTAATAAAAGGTGTGGGAAATGCATACAGAGCACCAGACCATCCCAAACCAGGATCACATAGTTTCTAGCAAAGAGTGCTGAAGCATCCCCAAGTAGCAATCAAGTTTACATTTGCCACTGTGACTCCCCCCCCAAAAAGATTTCACCCAATTTACTTTGACAAAGCAGTGGATCAAGTAGCTATGGTTTGCACACACCATGTCCTGAGAGCTCAGCGGAGGTCATGTACATTGGGATTTAGTGATAAACTCCTATGCTGAGTGACCACCTACAGTTCACAAGCAACAGAGTCCCAGGCTTGGCAGCCAGCTTCAAAATATGAGCTAATGACAGTAAGAAGCAAGGAATAAGTACATCAGCACTCATCACAGCCTCCCAAGACTTTTCTAAATGGAGCAGTTTTGCCCCCTGCATCACTGAAACCTGTAAGTTATACATGTGACCAGCCTTGACACGCACACAGGCATCTCAGATGATGCTTCGTAAGAGCTATTGGCAATCAGCCCATGCCTGCCAGCACCACTGCAGCAGTGGGTGCTGTCGTGCTCCCGGCCAGGCAAGAAAGGAGCTGAGCTGGACCTGGTGAGGGAGCAGCACCTCTTTGCTGCTCCTCCTTTCATTTCCTCCTCCAGGGCACCTGTGGCCCAGACTCCCAAAACCAAAGTACAGTAAGACCCAAGGGGATGCAAGTGAGCCCCTGGCTAATGATACCATCCCTCTCCCTAGCACAGCAACAGTTTTTGCCTGAGCTACCAAAACTGGCACTAAGAGAGGCATTCCTGGAATACATCAGTCAAGTACTGCATTTGAAATTTGCATTTAACTTAAAGAGATTTCAACAGACAAAAAAAACCCCACGCCAACCAAACCCTTAGGAAAAGGTTAATGTCCAGCTGAGAGCTTGTAACACAGAAATCAATAATAAAATTAAGTTATTTTGAAAAAAAGCTAATTTTATTTCAAAGGTAATACCAAGAACTTTTTAGTTTTAAATCTAAAGTCACCTTGGGTCAATTATTCACCTTCATTTACATATCGGAGGATTCCAGGCTTGCTGGGTAACAATAACAGGAGACTCCGGTATTAGCATCTATACTCTCAACAAATATTTCTTCAGAACAGAAAACCAGACTTTTTTTTGCATCTTGTAACTTTGAATTTATGTCATATGCACTGTTTATTGTCCAACATAGATGGCTGGAAAACAGCCAGGTAGCAGCTGCCATGTCTGAAAATCCAAACACTGCTTTTCCCAAGCAAGGACTCTGGTGCCTACTTCTCTTCTCCCATATACACATATGTATGGCTACTGAGATACAGGATTTTTGCCTCTCATCTCTGGCTGGGAAACTCCCACTTTGCCACATGGAGCCGCACAGGAAAAGCTCCGGAGGAGCCAGACCGCTCTCCCCAGGCACTGCAGCTTCCACGACCCTCCAGTCTGTGCTGTGCCCCCCTCCCCAGCCATGCTGGAACCCCGCAGTCAAAGGGTGGAGGGGCACGAGCACAGAACAGGGGCACAGGCACGGCTTCTAGACTGCTGCAGAGCATCCTTTTCGCAGCCTGCCTCAGACTGAATTTGTACTTGGAGGCCAAATTGCTCCCCTAAGTCATGTTTCCACCTTCCAGTATGAACAGCAGAGGCAAGTGCCCCCCTCACACTCCCAGGGACCCGGGCAGAGCTGATGATCTCTGAAGGGGTTCAGCAGCTTTGCCTCGTCCGCATCCACCCTGGCTTTTTGGACTTCCCATGTCTGGCAAGCTTTTCCCTGCA